CTTGAGCCCAGGAGTTGGAGGTTGCTGTGAGCTGTGATGCCATGGCACTCTACCCAGGGGGACAGCTTGAGGCTCCGTCTCAAAAAAAAAAAGACATAATACACTAATATCTGACAAAGAACTTACCACTAGTCATCAGGGAAAAGCAAATCAAAACAATGATGAGGGGCACTACACACCCTCCAGAATGGCTAAAATGAGAAAGACAGACAATACCAAGCTTTGGGGAAAATATGACACAACTGGATCTCTTCTACACTGCTGGTGATTATGCAAAATTGTACAACTACTTTGGAAAACCGCTGTGGAATTTCTTACAAAGTTAAACATACATTTACTATAGGAGTTGTAGAAATTCTGCTCTTAAGCCAGGTGTTGTGGTGGGCACCTGCAGTCCCAGCTACTTGGGAGGCTGAGGCAAGAGGATCACTTGAGCCCAAGAGTTAGAGGTTGCTGTAAGCTATGATGCTATGGAATCTACTCTTAGGCATTTATCTAAAAGAAATGAACACAGGCCTGGCACAGTGACTCATGCCTAGAGTCCCAAAGGAGTTGGAGACCAGTCTGGGCAACACAGGTACATTAGCATGATGGCTGGCACCTATAGTCCTAGTGGTTGAAGTGGGAAGATTGTTTGAGGTCAGGAGTCCAAGGCTATGATAGTTTGAGGAGCTATGATGACACCACTGTATTCCAGCCTGGGTGACAGAGCAAGACCCTGTCTAAAAATAAATAAGTAAAAAGAAAGAAATGAAAAATGAAAACATGTCCATGATATACCATTCATAGCAGATTTATTTTGCATAACAGCCCAAACTGGAAACAATCTGAATGTTCATCAAGGGGTGAGCTGGATAAGATAACAAAAATTTTGTAATAGCCACACAATAGAATATAATATCAGCAGTAAGAAGGAATGGATTACTAATACATGTGAAAGAAGGGATACATCTCAAAAACATTATGTCAACCAGAAAAATTTAGCCACAAGAAAGTACATAGTATATTATCTCATTTATATGAAACTCAAGAAAGGTGAATCTATAAGGGCAGAAGGTGGGTCAGTGGTTGCCTGGAGCAGGAGTGAGGAGATTGACTAGGAAATACTGAAGTAATGAAATATTTTACATTGTGATTATGGTGCTAGTTATGTGGGTGTATAAACTCGTCAAAACTCAGAGATGTACATTTAAAACTGATGCATTTTACTGTAGATAAATAATACCTCAATCAAGTTGACTTAGAAAAAAGTGTTTTTGTGAAAAATGGCAAACACTCATTATGAACAATGTGAACAATAGGGAAAGGTACAAATTGAGAGAAATAAAAACCACTCCACATACTAATTTAAAGTGGAATCTTATTAATGCCACGAATAAAATCATGAAGCACTATTATTTTGTTTCCCTTGTCACTTAAGAAAGATTTGGTCATTGTAAATCAAAGCCCTGCAGATAGTTGGCCGGTCCTCCCTGCGTGGTTCGGTCTTACTTCAATCCTCCCGCTTCATTTCAGTTGCATCCTCCTTGGAGGTCTTTCTCTTCTGATGCTGTTGGGCTATTTTCAGTACTTCCTGCCACAGAATTTTGCCCACGTTGTTCCCTCTGCCTCCTCACCTGGTTTTGCTTACTTGACCTTCAGATTTTAGCTCAAAGCTCACTTCTTCAGGGACACCCTCCTTGACTGCATTAACTTCTCCTGTTAGTCTCTCAAAACACCACTATCTCAATGAGGTGTTCTATTTGTGTGATTTCAAAATCAGTGTGTCAGCTTCTCCAACAAGTAGGTAGTAAGTTCTGTGTGAGTGGGAACCATGGCTGTTTCTGCTCAGCAGTTTGTATCAGAGCCCATTTCAGAGCCTGGTAAAATATGAATAAATATTTGTTTAAAAAAATGGGAATGAACATTAATTGGATTTGGAGTAGGTAATAAATGAAGTTAGGCAGAGGCAGAACATCACGTTCTCAGAAACAGTGTGTGCGGTGGTTTGAATGTTGCCTTTCAAAACTCCAGCTGAAACTAACTCCCATGCAGCAGACTTGAGAAGTTGGCCTTTATGAGGTGATTGGACCATCAGGGCTCTGCCATCAGGAGTAGATTCATCTATCCATGGATCGATGGATTGATAGGTTATCATAGGAGGGGACCTGGTGGGTTTACAAGAAGAGAGGCCTGAACTGGCAGGTGAGCACTCTCACCATGTGGTGCCTGTTGTTGCCTCAAGAGTCTGCAGAGATTCCCCATCAGCAAGAAGGCTCTCACAAGAGGGACCCCTTGACCTCAGACTTCCTGGCCTCTATAACTATAGGAGATAAATTTCTTTTCTTTGTAAATTATTCAGTTTCAGGCATTCTGTTTTAAGCAACAGAAAACAAACCAATGCATGGAAGAGAATAAAGGCTGTTTAATGGCTTTTTTCCATGTGCTAAGAACTTTATTTATAGAGAAAGGATCTTGCCCTGTTGCCCAGGCTAGAGTAAAGAGGCATAATCACAGCTCCCTGCAGCCTCAAACTCCTGGGTCCAGGCAATACTCCTGCTTCAGCCTCCTAGGAGCTAGGACTAGAGGCTTACACCACTATGTCCTACTAATTTTAAATTTTTTTCTAGAGACAGGTCTTGGTATATTGCTCACAATGGTTTCAAACTCCTGGCCTCATGTGAGCCTTCCACCTATGCCTCCCAAAGTGGTGGGATTATCTGTGTGAGCCACTGTGCCCGGCCACTAGGAACTCCAGATACATAATCTCCTGTAATTTTCATGACGGCTCTCTGAGGTACATATTATCCTCCATTTTATTGTTAAAATCCCCATATTACCCAAAACAATTTACAGATTTAATGCAATTCCCATTAAGGCACATGTCATACTTTAAAGATCTGGAAAAATTAGTATTTTGTTTTATATGGAAACAGAAAAAAACCTCAAATAGCTAAGACATTACTCAGAGATAAAAATAAATCAGGTGGAATCACGCTGCCAGACTTCAGATTATACTATAAACCTATAGTGATCAAAATGGCATGGTATTGGCACAAAAATAGAGAGGTAGATGTATGGAATAGAATTGAGAACCAAGAGATGAATCCAGGCAGTTATCATCATTTGATTTTCGATAAGCCTATCAAAAACTTAAATTAGAGGAAAGACTCTATTTAACAAATGGTGGCTGGCAACTTGTAGAAGACTGAAACTGGACCCACACCTTTCACCTCTAACAAAAATTGACTCTCACTGGATAAAAGACTTAAACCTA